ATATGTCTTTCCCAAAAAGCTCCAAAATCATATCTTTCTGGCTGAATTGGAAAGACAATTATACATCAAACCCGGCCTCTTTCTTTCTTTCTTGGATTATTAATTTTTTTAAATAACTTTTTTTAAATTTATTTTTTATTGAATTATTATTTTTTTTCATCATTCAGCACAGTCAATCAGATGTACAATCAAACAGCATGGTTTCTTTCTCAGTCAGAAAACTTTCCCAGACAGCATTTTACCAGACAGCACTTTCCCACACAGAAACTATCAAATGGAACCTTAGTTGATTTAAGTCCTTAATATAACACCCAAAATGAATATATTAAGGCTAGGAACCAACACAATATTTTACAATTCGGAAGAGGGATGCCGTAATCCAATTTTAAACTATTTGAAGGTAGGTAAATGACAATTTACCAATTTCCACCACGAAAAACGAATTTTTTTTAGGTTTTAAGTGAATTGAAATCCTAGATCCGTTGAGATCCATTGAACTTTTCAATGACATGTTTAAATCTCGATTGTGCCCTTCAAGTTTGTGACTGGGATACCGAGGATCACAAACAAGGTGTGAATAACCATGCAAATTAGCTTGGTACACTTCATGTTACAGATCACCTAATCAATGTGCCGGTTAACCACACACGCTCCATTGATCTATGATTAACATCAAGCTACCCTTTGCCATCCACTGTCAGTCCCAGATTAGTGTGCCAGTTAACCACACGCGCTCCACTAACGACTTAACAAGGTGCAAAGTGCAATTTCATGGGTTAGCACCAAATTCATATTTTTCCTAAGTAACTAAGACTGGGAATTAATAAGTGTTTAGTTACTTGGTATTTTCATTATACTTTTAATGAGAATTAATGTCTTATCCTACCCGTTCGGCTAACGACCCTCCACCAGTCAAGGAAGCGGTGGGTGAGAGTGGACACCCATTAAACCGCCATTTTATAGGCAGTCACCTTATACCCCCCTTATAGACCGACTTCGTGAATGAGGCCTACTAACGGTAAGACCGACTTTTTACTTATACATATAATATATTAAACTTTTAATATTATAATAGTATAAGGGTGTATTTTAAACTTTTAAAATACTAAGTGGTTTAATCTATTAATTAAACTATACTCTTAATTTAATTAAACTTAAACCATGTCATTATGGAATTATTAATTCTCTTTTAATTAAACACTTTAATTAACTATTAATAAAGTCCATAAAGACGTAATATGAAATATTCAAAACATCAAGATGCTAAAACAAAATTAAAACTATTTTAATTTATTATTAAGTTATGAACCCATGAGTTACACTTTTGAAAACTTTTCAAATAACATTAGTTTTAGAATTCAATGTCTCATAAAAAAAACTTTTCAAATTCCAAAACTTGAGGGCAAGTTTTGTAACTCTTGAAAACTTTTAGAATTCCGTAAAAGAGATTTTCCAAGTTCCATAACTTGAGGGCAAATTATGAAACTCTTCAAAGCCATTTATAACAAATTTTGTAACCTTTGAAGACTCTTGGAATTCATAACTTAAAGAGTTAATGAATGAGACTTTTCACATCCATAACTTATGGAAGTTTCAAAACTCTTAAGATCATAACTTTTAAAAATACTTTTGAGTTCCAAAATTTTATGACAAAATTTGTAACTCCTTAAAAACATTTAGATCAAACTTTTAAAACAAATAAAATAATCATATCATTCTATCTTTTAATAAATTGACCTAATTCAACTCTTGTAGTAAAATGACTCAAATTTTACAAATAATTAGTTTTTCATAAAATCAAGTAATTATCTTAAAATTTGATAAACTTCATGTATTTTTTTCAACTTTGAAAATCAAACATTTGCATCAATATAACAAAAAACAACCCATGGCTCTGATACCACTGTTGGGTTTTAGTATACTACAACATCCTATGGTGCACATACAACCCTAAATGCTTTGAATCTATGTTTTCTCTAATTATACATGCAATATTTTTTCCAAAGCATTAAGCCTACAACTAGCATGCAAATGACATAATCAACATAAAAGAGAGTTATAGAATTACCTCTTTGTTGTAGCTTGTAGAACTTCTTGAGTTTGGCCTTTAAGAACTTAGTGCCCCAAGTGTTGCACCTCAAATGGAATCACAACACACCTTTGGACAAAGATGACTTTTGAGAGAATATTCTTATACCAAAATCGACTCAATGATCTCCAAGAACACTTAGTGCATCATTTTGGATGCTAAGAGGCTTCTTATATAGTGTGTCAAGATTAGGGTTACATCAATGTAAACCCTAATGCCCATGACCTTTCATATTACTTAGGATCCATGGGTTAAACCTCCATGGACTATCCATGGACTACCATATTGGTTTAGCTCATCCTAAATAACAATTGGCCCACACTATAAGAATCATTGATTTTCCAAATCAATCCCCATATATTTAATTAGTCTCTTTTGATTACTAAATTAATTCCAAATTAAATCTTGATCAATACTAATTAAATAATATGATTTCATATTAATATATTAGAACTTATAATATATTAATAAATCATAAATAACCTTTTCTCAAAAGTCCATCCTATCAAATTGTCCCGGTGATATGCAACCTAAATGGACCATGCTACTCTCGGGTCAAGTACATACCAATTATAGTTATGGGCTTAGACACCTAATCCAACAACCCCTTGGGACCACTTCTCTTTGACCTTCTGTTGCACCCGCTCTTGCATAACATTAGAGACAAGTGCAAGCTTCTTCTCCATGCATGGTACCTTAATGATGTCACAGTTATTGGAGATTCGAAGGAGGTGGCCAAAGCGTTGGACATCATTACGGTGATTGGCCCAATATTGGGCCTTTAGCTGAATATCAAGAAACCCGAGCTCTTTTGGCCCTCGTGTGATGGTAGCAAGCTACGTGATGGGCTATTCCCGGCTGGCATCGGGAGGCCGCCTTTGGGGGTGAAGCTTATTGGGGGAGCTGTTAATAGAGATACTAGTTTCATTAGCAGCTTAGCCATAAAGAGAGCCGAAAACGCTGTGAATGTGATATGCCTTCTTCCACAGTTGTCTGACCCCCAAAGTGAGCTCCTTTGCTTTAGTCTTGTATGGGTACTGCTAAGCTTTTCTTTGGGCGGAGGACGTGCTAACCCGTTCACATGGAGGAGGCATCATTATTCTTTAACAATGAGTTGCGCAGGGCGATCGCGGACATTGTGGTTTGTGGTGGCCCTTTCTTTGGCGACATATAATGGCGAATTGCTTCCTTACCCATTAGGTTTGGTGGTTTGGGTTTATACTCGGCAATAGAGGCTACCTCATATGCTTTTCTTGCCTCAAGGCTCAATCTTGGTTATTGCAATACCACATCTTATGGGATAGCGACAAATATGGTATGGATTTTGATTATGGTTGTGCCAGCTTCCGGATATTGACCTTAGAAGTTTTACTACTAAAGACACCGCCCCCATAAATCCCATAATACACTGGCGAGTGCCCTTTTTCGTAAAATTGTCGAAGATATGGAAGTGTATCTCAACATGATGGCTCGGCAAAAAGCGGATTTCCAGTTCTTACGTGCACCACATGCTCAAGATTTTCTTCTAGTTATCCCTATAGATGGACTTGGCCAACATATGTCTCCCGTGGAGTATCGTACTATCCTCAAATATCGGCTCATGATTCCAATATTCCCAGCTGACGAGATATGTCCGGTGTGTCGCAAGGCATGTTTTGACTCTTTTGGAGAGCATGCAATTCACTGTAACGAACTCTCAGGGTTCAAATACAGGCACAATATGGTTAGGGATGTTTTATTTGACATATTTAAGCGTGCCGGGGTTTTCGCCAAGAAAGAGGCACCTGTGAATTTCTTGACTGACCCGACAGAAAGAAGGTCAAGCCTTAGACCGGCTGACATTTTGATTTTTGGATGGATCGGAGGGAAACACACATGTGTGGACCTTACATGGGTATCCCCTCTCGTAGGCTTAAGGGCTGGGGGTTTCACGGCGATGCAAACTGCTTTAAAAGCTGCTACATGCAAAATCACCAAACATGAGAAATCGTGTATGGAAAATCAACACGTGTTCATACCATTTGCATTTGATACGTTGGTTTCCTCGCGCCGGATGCGGTGGAGCTTTTTAATAGAGTATAACGGATCATGCGTAGCAATGTTATATCCCCTAGATCTATGGATATACTTTTCAAAAGAATTAGTTTTAACATACAAAAAAGGCTTAGCGGCGCAGCTTGTTGCCCGTTTGCCATCTCACTCGTTATACGATGATAACAAATTAATGAAAACTTTCGTTATTGTTTAGAAATCCAAAGATTCTTCTTAATACAAGAAAACATACATACACACATTTTCAAACATATTCAAATTCGTTAACTCAATCCGATGTTTACACCTCAAACTTTGACTATTGATTTGTTGTTCATGGTCTTATGGGTCTAGCTAACTTTTTTTGTAGATGAAGGGGGTGTTTGGATAGGGAAAAAATAGGCTGCTTATTGCTTATTGCTTAATCCCACCGCAATAAGCAAATTTAAGTGTTTGGATAGGAGTCTTTAAAAATCAGCTTATTGCGGTAGGAATAAGCAAAATAAGCTGATTTTAATAAACAAGGGGGGGGAATGCTTATTGCTTATTGCTTATTGGTCATTTTACTCATATTTGCCAAACATTTAAATGCTTATTGCTTATTACTTATTCCCACCGCAATAAGCTAATCCAAACACATTTTAAAAAAATGCTTATTCTCACCACAATAAGCAAATAAGCAATAAGCTAATAAGCTAAAACTTATTTATCCAAACACCTCGAACTATACATTATACATAGCATTTAAACAAATTTAAGATTGTTGAAAAGTGAACTTAAAAAAAAATAGAAGCACATAAATGATAAATATATGTTTTATTCGATTAATTTGAATAATTATGTGATTTGGAGGATATGAGTCATATTATGTCCGATTTGTCGATCGTTGAAAACCAAGCCTTCCCGTTCGACCTTCAGGCCTCACCGTCCTCTCTTTATAAACCACTTGTACTCTAATCGTTATCCAACAAATCTGGGTGTCCTTTTTCCCCTAATTCTTGATCACAAACCCTAGGATAAATCGCTCGAGGGTTTCTTTCACTCATGTCTCTTAATTAATCATATTTTGTTGTCGTTCGCGTCTTCCTGTTCTTTTTAGGGTTTAGAATTAATTTTTAATTCAGAATTTTTATATAGATTTTGGTATTTTCGTTTCGTCTTTCTGGATTCGTAGTGGAAGAGTTGAAATATGGAAAGATTGGGAGGTGGAGGTGATACTCAACAACTCGTTGATCGTCGGGATCCTAATCAACAACTTGGTTCGAATTCCACAGGTTTTTTCCTCATGCTCCTTGTTCGATCTTCTCGTATCGTGCTTCAGATTTCGTATCTAGGTTTTAGACTGCATTGACGTCATATAGATCTTGTATTCATCCATTTTCTTTTTCATTTCACATGTTTAGATTCTAGAACGGGAGGTTAAATTCTATTCATTAATCCGTTTATGTACGACGGAGCTACGGAGTTGTTATAATCCGTTTCGTTGTTTTATGTGTGTCGAGATTGATCCTGCACTTAGATTCACTTGTCTTATTGAGTTTCTGAACCTGCCTAACTTCTGTAACCTCCATAAAGAGCTCTCACATTGACCATATGGTGTTGTTTGTATCAATTTAGCACCAATTTGAATGTGTAGACGTTTTTTGTTCAACTTGAACTCATGAATCTTACTATGCAGGCGCTGTTGTATTTGATGCATCACAGTATTCATTCTTTGGTAATGAAGTTCTTGAAGAAGTTGAGTTGGGAGGTCTGGAAGATGAAGAAGAAGACCTTCCAGCAGCTAAACTTGAGGACGAAGAGTATCAGCTGGAGCAAGAAGAGGTATGTATTTTGCTAAAAGATGTGCATGATGTACGAATCTAGATTCTAGAATGGATTTTGTAAGCTTATGCACATACTCGTTTGTTACATGTTTCAGGTTACGTTTCTGGGCATGGATGATCTTTCCACCACATTTTCAAAGGTTAGTTTTACAAAAACCAGTGATTATAGTTATGTAATAATATAATATGGACCAATCAATTTTGGAATCCAATGCTATCTTTATATTTTCTGCATATTCACTAATGATGGGGAATGTTGTGAATGTAGTTATTTTGATTTGACATTTTTAGGGATTGAATGTATAACATGATAAAATATGCACATACAGTTATATATAGTGTGCTTCGATGGTTGTTTAATCTTTCATTTTTTCATCTTATTTCTGTAGCTCAACAAAGATGTCAGGGGGCCAAGTCTTGGAGTTTATGGTGACCGGGGATCCAGAGAAAGTAAGTGCACCTTTTTATGCCATTGATGTACCATTTTTAAGTTTTTTAGGGCTTAGGTGCTGTTTTTTTTTATATAATTTAATGGACTCTATGGGGACATAACTTAATATTAACAGAAGAATTTAATGGTTTGAGTGAGAGGATGGCGTCTTTATCCATTACGACCTCATTTTTTCCTATGCTACCCATTAAGCAAACTCTCCCTTTTTATTTCTTCTAAAATTATTATTTATGTTGTTATTAAAAGATAATTGCTAAAAACAAGTCAATTTTTTTTTCTGACTACACTTATGTAGTATGGAACGAAGATGAAAAATGGAAACAAAAGTTAGTTATAGATCTATAATCTATTAGTCTTCATGATAATCTACAAAAACCATCACGCTTACAATTATTTTTATATTGGTTTTAATCATAAATTGAAAATTAGTAATGTTAAAAGTACAATGTTATTGTAAACATACTTTCTTTTGTCATCATGTACTAATATGTTTTTGTTCTTTTTTGTGTTTGTTCTAGATTCATCTGCAGCTGAGTTGGCACAGGGAGGAGAGTTGACCAACTGGTTTGACCAGGATAATTTTTATGCCGAAAATGCCCATGAAAGCAACAGATGGTCATCAAATTCTTCATTTCCACCTCAAGACACATCAATGCTTCATCAAAGAACATCAAACCAATATATTCATAGAACATCATCGTACCCTGAACAACTCCAACAACAAAACCCTAACCATCACCTTCTAGAAGATTCTAAAAATCTCCACAGAACATCATCATACCCTGATCAACAACAACAAAACATCGGTCAACATTTGACTTTTCCTGACCCGGTTCCCGTTCCCAAATCTTCCTTCATTTCATACCCGCCACCTGTTAACCCGTCTTACCATGGCGGCCCACCACCATCTTTCTCCAATATATCAAACCCACAGCTTCAAATGGGCGGGTTGCCCCACCCATCTCATCCGTCACAATTCGGTTCCAATCTGGGTCAGTTCCGTCCACCTGCGAACCGGGTCCCGAACCAATTTCAACCCGATCTTTCGAACGGAATGTTTGCTCATAAAAACGGTTTGATGCCTCCCCAACAACACAGACTACATCCTCAATTCCAAGGACCTTTCGGTCATTTACCACTAATGAACCACCACCTCTCTCCTCCCCCACCAGTGATGAACAACTTTGAACCCTTAGGGTTAGGTGGTCCACGAGACCAAAGGGCTAGACCAGTTTCCAAAATTAGACCGGGTGGCCCGGGCCCACGATTCGATACCGCTGGGTGGCCACAGTTCAAATCAAAATACATGTCATCAGATGAAATCGAAAACATTCTAAGAATGCAACTTGCTGCTACACACAGTAATGACCCGTATGTAGACGATTACTACCACCAAGCTATTCTAGCAAACAAATCAAGTGGAGCGAAATTAAGACACCATTTTTGTCCTACACAATTACGTGAATGCGCCCCGAGAACCCGTGCTGCAAACGAACCACACGCGTTTCTTCAAGTCGATGCGTTGGGTCGGGTCTCGTTTTCCTCGATCCGTCGCCCGCGCCCGCTTCTCGAAGTCGACCCGCCCAAATCATCCACCGGGACCCACGATCAAAAAGCTTTAGACAAACCGCTAGAACAAGAGCCCATGCTTGCAGCCAGGGTTACAATTGAAGACGGGATTTGTCTTTTACTAGACGTCGATGACATCGATCGGTTTGTACAGTTTAATCAGCTCCAAGATGGCGGGGGACAGTTGAAACAAAGGCGACAGGTCCTTCTAGAAGGTTTAGCCACATCACTACAGTTAGTCGACCCGTTAAAAAACGGAAACACAGTGGAGTTAGCTACAAAGGACGATTTAGTCTTTTTACGTTTAGTCTCCCTTCCGAAAGGTCGGAAGCTTGTGGAAAGTTTCCTCCGGCATTTGTCGCCCGGGAGCGAGCTGACACGTGTTGTATGCATGGCGATTTTCCGACATTTAAGGTTTCTATTCGGGAGTGGTCCCGCGGATGAAACGGTGAAGAAACTCGCGAGGACAGTTTCGTCATTTGTACGCGGGATGGAGCTTCGGGCGCTTGGCGCGTGTCTTGCGTCGGTCGTGTGTTCGTCTGAGCATCCGCCGCTCCGCCCGGTTGGCAGTCCAGCTGGCGACGGGGCGTCTGTTGTTTTGAAATCCGTACTGGAAAGGGCGACGGAGCTTTTGACTGATCCGAATTCGGTTAACAATTGTAGCATGCAAAACCGCGCGTTTTGGCAGGCGTCTTTCGATGCGTTTTTCGGGCTGTTGACAAAGTATTGTTTTAGTAAATATGATACGGTTGTGCAGACGTGGATGACACATGGCGGCGGCGGTGGTGGTGGTGGTGGGCCCGGTCCGTCTGACGTGGCGGCGATAAGTCGGGAAATGCCGGTTGAGCTTTTGCGTGCGAGTTTGCCTCATACGAATGAAAGTCAAAGGAAGGTGTTGTTGGATTTTGCTCAGCGGTCAATGCCGGTCAACAACAATGGGTGAATGGTGAATGTTGATGAATAAGAAGAGTAGTGGGTGGTACTATGGTGTTGTGGATACTGGATAGAAAAGTAAGTTTGTTTTTGGAAGAATTGTTATATGTTTTTTTTTTTTTTGGTTATTGTGTTTTTTTAATGATGGGACTTAGTTTGTGTACTGTTTTTTTGGGGGGGTGGATTGAGGAGCTTATTTTGTGGTCTCTTGGAATGTCTAATCCCTTTTGGTAGTAGTTAATATGAGGAGGATTTAGAAAAAAAGGTTAGAAATATATATATGATATATGTATGTGTATAGGGGGTTTGGGTTCCTTTTGCCATTGATATTGGAGGTGATGGGAAGAAGGAATGGACTACCTGGATTGGTCACTACTTACTAATGAATATGAAATCCTCTTTTTTGTTTTGTTAGCGAATGTTTTCCGTTTTTACCCTTGGTTCTTTTGCTGTTGTATGTCTGTTTTGACTGGATGCAACCATTATCTGTTGGTATTTCAAAGTATAATATTGTAATATAAAGAAAATATAATAGGATGATTAAACAAATCAATGAGAGTATGTTGCTATATCTTGCATTTGATCTGGTTAATATAGGATGTAGATTCTCCATCACCATGGATCATAAAGACCATAATATCTTAGAGTATGGAATTTGATTTATTCCACTAGAGTCCTATGGATTCCATGTTTGATTTCATGTGGATGGAGGGAAATAAATCATATTTAAGTATTCGTCAAAATTACCTAAAACTGAGTGAAGCGTATAAGGGACATGTTAGTGAAGTTCTCTTTCCAAAAAAAGATATCAAAATGTCCTACTCCAGCTGCAGATTTCAAAATCAAACATGAAGGTTCAAAATGGATTGTTTTGTAAATAAAATAAAAGGGGGAAATTGTTGTGTGGGTAAAATATTATGAATCGTCTTAAATTTTGTAGTCTGATAGTAATCGATTCTCAAGGAGAGGTGAATAATTTCACACTCCATATGCTATAACCACTCATGATTTTGATTTCAAGAATGTATAATTTCATTCTGCAAAGAAAGAACAACATTTTCCAGATTTCAGGTCTAACATAATAAAAAACAATGTAGAACACAATAGAACCTCATGAGTACAATTATTCTTGATATGGATGTTAAATTTTCATAGAACATATTTTTTAGAACATATAACTCACACACTATTCTAAATCTGATCCTCATTGTCCACCATAAAACTTAAACCCTTGGAACAAAACCTTTCCAACATATCTGGTACCTTTAATAGTATATATTATTTGCTGATAAATGTTTTTTTTAGTATTGTGGTTTTGTTAAACATCTTCATTTACAAATATATATTATTTTTTTGACAAAACCTCATAAATGGTCAATATGGTTTCTCGAAATCTAGGATATAGTCTGTAAATACAAAAAAACTTAATATATAGTCCCTATGGTGGTGGTGACGAGTCACAATCTCAAGGAAGCACATTTATGTTTAAACCTTAAAATACCTCCATGAACTAGGGCTGTTCACTATTCGGATAAAACCGAATTGTCCAATTGGACAATTTGGACTGGACTATTTGGTTCGGATTTTTGGATGAGTTTCCAGTAAAACCGAATTATTATTTTGGATTTCGGATTGGTTACGGTTTATAAAATTAAAACCGAATAGTCCAAAAAAACCGAATAAGAGTTTATTATTTGTTTATTTATATATATTTGTTTCAAATATACATCTTTTTGTTATTTATTAATATGCTAAATTGTATTTTTAAACAGATTAGAAAGTATTATCTAATAAAATACTTCAATGTATACTTTTCAATAGCTTTTTATCGGTAAAATATTGAATTATAAGTAAAATTTTAGTAGTTGTTCATAATTTTAATTCTCACCAAACAATTTATTTTAAAGTTGATTAATATTATGTTATATATATTTTTAAATATCATGCTTCTTGTAAACCGAATTGTAAAAACCGATCCAACCGAATTGTAATTTGATTGGTTCGAATCAGATTTGAATTTAGTTTGGACTATTCAAGTTCACGTTTTGAAAACCGAAATTAATTTGGATTCACGTGATTGGATCGGATCAAACCGATCCATCCAAACGAACACCCATACCATGAACCCAGGAGTGGATTTAGAATTTTTTCGAAAAGGGGACAAAAAATAGTTTAATTTCTTTTACGGTGGCAAAAAAAACCTTGAAGAGTAAAAATATGTTATTTTGAAAGGTCAAAATAAATTATTCTTTTATTTTTTTGGGGCAGGTCCCAGCTGGGTTGGTTTGACTATTCTTTTCTATTGAAAAGGAGTCAGCTGTCTGCGCGAGTCATCTTCTTCTAGGCTACGCTGGACGACACCCCATTGTAAGTCCGCCCATGCATAACCCCAAGTATTGTGTGTTTTCATCACATATACATGATATTTAAGAAGTAGTTGTTGAACACATGGACCAATCGTGTGTGTTCATTCCATAAACACTAGAGGCGTGTTTGACTTGGTGTGTTTGAGAACTTCTAGTTTCTAGTGTATGTCAAAACGCTCCGCTTTGAATAAAAAACTTCGTTTGACACTACAAGTTTTCAATGTTTAGTTTAAATAAGCGCCACCTAAGCTTTTGCAGTTTTTATATTTTTTTCCTACGAAGTAGGATGTGGTGATGTTTTTACCTACCAAAATTTCATTTTTTTTAATTCAAAAATATAAATAATTGTATAAACATAAAAATAAATACTAATTAAAATAACATAACATTTAATAAATTAAAAACATTACATTTGATTTAACAATCAAAAAACGAAAATTAAATTAACTAACTAAATAAAATATTTCAATCAAAATATTCACCGATATCATTGTCAATTGGCTCATTTAAATCAATTTCATTAACCCGATATATGTTCCGCCAAATCGTTGTGAAGCTCGTGGTGTTTTTGATTGTCACATATCGCCCTTCTTCTTGCACTCCATGGGATGAAACCAGGTGGTATTGACGCACTAGAGGATGCATTGTCATTTGGATGAAATTGATAAATTATTTTGTGCCCGTCTTCCAAAATCATAAAATGTAAAATGATACACGCATACATAATACAAACGAGCTTTTCCACACTTCGAGGACGAGCCAAATGATGTAGTATGTGCCAACGCTTCTTGAGAACTCCAAATGCTCGTTCGACATCATTCCTAGCCTTTTCTTGGTACGTTTTTATACTTTATGTGTTTTGGATCACCTGGACATGTTAACGTGTTCACAAACACAACAAATTCAGGGTATATACCATCAGCAAGATAATACCCATAATCGTACGCCGTTCCATTCACTTGAAATGGACAGTTAGGTGCGGACCCATCACAAAACCCATTGAATATGGGCGACATGTCTAAAATATTAATATCGTTGTTTGAGCCGGGAGCACCAATAAAAGCATGCTAAATCCAAAGATCCTGTGACGCAACAACTTCAAATATGACTGTGGGGTGACCCTTATCACCCCGTGTAAATTGTCCTTCCCATGCATTAGGACAACTACCCCAAAACCAATGAAGACAATCCAAACTTCCAAGCATACCTGGTAAAGCCATAAACACTAGCATGATGAACATATAATGATTGAACGTTAGAAAAAGTGGGTTTACGCAAATACATTGGACCGTAAATAGTGACAACGCATCTGCAAAACTCATCCAAACCGTCTATAACTACTCGTTTAGACATTTGAAAATATTCGTCTCATGAATCAGAAACAGAACCGTAAGCTAACTGACGAACCACAACTGCGCATTTTTGTATTTCTGAAAACTCATCCGCACCTCTTGCATCTCGACGTTGTCTAATATATTCAGAAATGTTAGTAACGTCACCAACTATACGAAGAAATAAATGTTTAGCCATTCAGAATCGACGTCGAAACTGGTGTTACGCATAAACAAAATTTTCATTGAAGTAGTGTGCCATTAGACGAGTGTTTGCATCCCAACGATCGCTGAGAAGCATCTTCCGCGTCTTAGGTTGACTAGATTCGGCTTCCTCTTCTTCTTCTTCTTCTTGCACCGTTTCTATAATCGTTTCCCATAATTTAACAATAGCCTGACCAACAGTTAGCAACAACTTACAGTTTTGTAGCGGATTTGCCATGTTTTTAGAGATTTCTTTTAAGAAGATAAAGATAGGTTTGAGTGAATAGGTTAACATGGAGTATATGTTTGTATTTATAGTGGTTAGAAAAAATGAAAAAAAAATAATAAATATAGCAACGGTCATTTAAACTTTCACAAACCCACCCAATGTTCACTTTTTCAAATTAAAACTAAGGTCACAGCCCGGTGTTTACCGGAGGTGAAGTTAGCCACGTGGGCTTACTCGCCGGTGAGCTCTTCATGATACCGTCTAGCCTAATGGTGAAGGCGTCTTTGACCGTGAAAAATTCTTCCTAGATCCTATGTCTCGTACTGTGGTTGCCCTAATCCTTTTGTGGGTGACTTTATCATAATTCCACGTCAACTAAGTTCACATTCACTGCAAAAATTAAAATTTCACTTTTCATCTCTAGAGTCACTTTTCCTCATCTCTAGAGACAGTTCAAGATTAGTTCTACTTTAGCTTAAATATTAAATTCACTCTAAAGGCTTTAGTTTCAAGATTAATTACATGAGTGGTCCTTGATTATATTGTTGCAATCCAATAACTCTATATTAGTGGGGTTAGGTTTTCGTTAACCATCGTTTATAATTATAACCTCACCTGATTCGTAAACCAAATATGTTCTTCAAAACAAATTATCTAATTCTAATTTCTAATGTATCCGCCGCTGTATGGCCGGAAATTTTACTCCGGGAGCGCCATGTTCCTTGCAGCTAAACAACCCCAAATTCTCCTTAAAAACAGGTATTATTTTGGTTATGTATACAGCAGTAGTAAACTACTAAGCTACAAACAACTACGAACTCAAAAACAGAAACAAAATATGGCAAACTCTGTACACCGGATCCACGGAGAGTTCCTAATTAGTTAGCGGAGGGCTGACGATTGGCCGTGGATTCATCCTTTTGGTTGGCGTCGGAGACGCCTCGAGCAGCAGAGAATAGATCAACAGGCTCCGATTCTGCAATCATACCTTTGTTTTGTTGATTAGCGATATTGTGAGCGGCGGAGAAGAGATCCACAGGCTCGGAATCTGCAATTTTGCCGCCTTCCAACGGCGTGCCGGATTTGTACGCCACTCTCAACGTTTCGTCTTCCGATAACTTCGCCTGTGCAGTGCCGTACTTGATATCGTCCTTGCTTTTCGCCATTTCTGATCGTAGATCTGAGTAGGGTTCAGTGCGAGATTGCTGGTGGTGTTCCAACTTCTAAACAGGTAATTGAGACAGGTGTCTAATTCTGCCAGATTGGATGGACACGTGGTTATGGTGGTATATGCTTTCGGTCCTACGTTTGAGCCACGTAAACATATATGAAAATGTTGCCCAATTGTGGAGTTCTTTAGAAGAAAAATGTAAATTATTATTTAGAAAAACATTTTAAAATATAAACATAAGCATAATACAATTTCACTTGTAACTCATAATATTGAATTATTATTTAGGATAAACGTTTTAAAATATAGGTTATTGTCACCGTAGCCCAACTATCTTTCATATTTTGGTTTAAATGGTCTATCGTGACTATTTTTTACATTTGAAGGACATGCAGTTCTATTTTACCGGTCACTTTGGTACTTTTACCCATATTTGAAGGTAAAACTACTGTGTCGTGTGCCAAGTAAGCGGGTGAGTCAGCATTGATCATTGACGAATCGACTCGTCTTCCACCTAAGCCGACAGTTAATGCATGCATTTAGTTCTACCAACCCACCAACCACCTTTAGAAGCTAAGACAGTGTCGGTGGTGGGGGCATAAAGCACCGACACAAACCTATGTGGGGTTTAACCTAGCAAATTCGACAGACTTTTTTACCTTATTTAGGCAAAAACGACTCTGACCAAAACCCTAAATATTTGCAATGTTGGCTCCACCACCTTCACCTAACTCGATAAATTCTCGAAAGTTTCTCAACCTCAGTAACTTACATTCCATTATTTGCGATTGCAGAGACAAGATTGATGTGAATCATAGCGGGATGCATAGGATAAAAGAGCAGCTAGGTCAAGATTTTCTTGTGTGTCATGTGGATCATATCAATATCCACCACAAGCGGGAAGATCATGACAAGAAGCTTAAAGCTATTGTTGTGGTGATGGGCGGCGTGATGGTGGCCATGTGCGGGATGATGGTGGTTGGGCTCAAAGTCGTTATGAAGCTTGGATAAGTTGTTGGGGGTAGATTACAAAACATATATATATATATATATATATATATATATATATATATATATATATATATATATATAGAGAGAGAGAGAGAGAGAGAGAGAGAGGGGTAGGTACCGTTGAGATTCAAAATAAAATAGAGATCTTGAAATTCAACCTCAGCCATATAATTCACATCTGCCGCACTAACCCTCCGGCGTACCGGCACGGCGGGCCAGTTATAATCCTAAATGATTATGTAATGTCGCATGTTCCTTTCACCTCCGCCACCTTCCCCACCACCATAACCTCCATCGTCACCATCACTACCGCCACCTCTGCCACTAACCGACCCCACCACTACCACCTCCGTCACTTATACCACCACCATCTTTGCCACCACCACCCCTTTTGCCACCAACCGTTATAATCATATATGATTACTAAATTTGTGAGTAGACATATATGTATAATCATTTATGATTAAGTATATACGTATAAACATATATAATCATATATGATTATACCTCTCTGCCATATAATCATTTATGATTAGGCATACCCCGCTACTTTTGGTACGCTGGAGTGTTAGAGCGGAAAATGAGAAATATGTGGCTGAGGTTGAATCTCATGATCTCTATTTTTTTTTTTGAATCTCAAATAAGAAATATCTATTCTTGGTTCTTTTTTTCTTTTAAATGGTGTTACGTATGGATGATGTGCAAAGGCTTGTGTTGATGTTAGACATTTTGTAACTGGTATTCAGCTTGTTAATGGAAAAAGACCTGAGTTGATATCTGGCGATATGCATCTAATGTTTTAGTTTTTGAAATGTTATGATTTACATTGACCTATCATGCAAGAACGAAGAAGCAACTCATATATTGGGTTAGTGAACCCCACGTGCCTTTCACGCTGAGGGTAGTTTTGTCCTTTCACGTTCATAAAGTTTGTAAAAAGGGGTGTGTCAGTGAAAAGGTGTAACACCCATAAAATCAAGCCAAATTTGAACTTCTAAAAAATATTTCAAAACCATTAAATCATTACAAACTTGTTTTCAAAATGTATAATATCAGAGTCTTCCCAGAAACATAAACAAAATATGAGGAGCAGTACAATCACGCATTTGCCTTGCCGCGATCTCCCGATGTACCTGAAACAGTAAACTGAAACTGTAAGCCCGAAAGCTTAGTGAGTTACCCCCAAAATACCAACCTCATATAACCATAATCATATCGTATCAAAAAATACATAACAACATGCATAATGAGCCTTCAGCATGACTGGACCGCCTCGCAGGGCCTACAGCCTATTTGGACCGTTCCCGAGCCTTCGGCATGACTGGACCGCCTCACAGGGCCTACAGCCTATCCGGACCGCCCACCGGGTATGTTGGCCTACAGCACAAAGCAGGACCGCCTCAACCCAACCCCAACCAAACAAACATGTGCACATAAATATCATACGCTAGCTCATATCATATAACAGTTAAATCGATCTAACAGATCACTAATCATAGCAACATCCCAATAACCGGGATACAGACCTAACCGGTCACTAACATAACATCATCCTATAACCAGGACACTAACCTAACCAGGTCACTAAACATAAGCATATCACCATCTTAACTACCAGGATGTAATCAATAACATATCATGCCATAATCCGGATACAAATCCATAAAGGGCCGACCTTGGTGCCTTAGACCCTGTTGATATAGTGAGGATAACTCACCTCACAACTGTCGACTCGAATGATAAGCTCAACCTCTCAGATCACCGACACGAACTCCACCACCTATAGTTACCATCAAACCATGTTCATAAATTCCCAAAATGCCCCAGAAGTCCAATAGTCAATCCCTTGGTCAAAATCAAAGTCAACTGTCAAAGTCAACAGTCCATGTTGACCTGAACTCGTCGAGTACAACCAGCCACTCGCCGAGTTCCTTGCATAACTCGTCGACTCGCCGAGTCACTTGAGTGACTCGTCGAGTTCCTAATGTTGGTGGCCGTGAAATCCTTGGCCAACTCGTCGAGTTACCCTTGCAACTCGCCAAGTTCATGCATGTACAAAGGTTGGGAAAACCCTAGCTGATTCGCCGAGTCACTCTACTGACTCGCCGAGTCTACGACAATCTTCATCGGACTCGCCGAGTGGACCATGCAACTCGCCGAGTCCCTTCGGTCCTTCATCCAAACAAATGCTTTTTAAGCCATGCTATGGTTGCATATTGCAGATCCAAATCCACAAGGCATGTTTATCACGTAAAGTTGCAAACTTTACGTGCATGCAAGGCTCTAGAGACTCAAAATGACAAATCCAAGCTTGCAATGGAGTTTTACACCTTAGGATGGTCTCATTCTTGCAAAAGCTAGAAGCTTTATGGACTTAGAGACCCAAGAGAGTCCAGATCTGAAGTTGCAACTTCAAATCTTATCTCAAACACAAGAAAGGCTTCTTAATATGCTAGAAAAGCCCTAAAATCCACCCAAAAGATCTAGAATGAAATGAGGTTAAGATAACGGATTAATACCTTCCAAGGGATGCCAACTGAGGTAGATCTCTGATTCCCACACGTTCCTTGCTTCTAATTACTTGTTCCCCAAGCTTTTCTCACCACACTCCTTCTTCAAAGCTTAAGACACACAAATGGAGTACACTCACACGAGTTAGGGTTTATGGAATATCAAGAGGCTGTAAGGGGAGGCCGAGGAGGCCAATGATCCTTTAAATAGGGTGCAAAACCCCGGAAATTAGGGTTTCATCCTCCAGCTCCTACTCGTCGAGTCCCTTCTTGGACTCGACGAGTAGATCACTTAAACACGTGGACCAACCCGCTGCTACTCGACGAGTCCGGCAACCAACTCGTCGAGTAGACTTTGAAATCATGAGAATTTATAGCCATAAATCAATACCTGAGAATTGGGGCGTTACAAAAGGGTATCTATTTCATTTGTTTTCTCCTTAAAATAACTTTTGAATGAGATCCAAGAAAAATCGAGAAGATGATGATGGATTGTAGGTGTGGAATTCCGTCAATATTTCGCACATCATGGACCAACACTAACCCCAGAATGCCATTTTATGCATGTCCAAACAAGGTAAAATGTAGTGTTCTATTTGGAACCCTAGTTTCACAATTATTTTCTAAATGTAACTCGACTTTCATAATCAGGGAGCTCGGTCATGTTTCATTGCTTGGGTTGATGAAGTAAAATGCAACAGTGAAGGGATGATTATAAGTGTACTGATGAGGTCGAAGAAGAAGCTGGAATCAGAAGTCTTGAAGTCGAAGTTGATCTTACTTTTTTTTGGGGGTTTAATCATCTATAAGCTGTAATCAAATGTATTTGGGTTGATGAAGTAAGAACAATTTGTAGTTGAATTTGGGTTTTAAGTATGGACTTGTATTAATGTGGTTAAATTATGCTACCCTTTGTCATTACCATATGTCATCACCCTTCATGTTTGAATTACTTATAGTACGTTGCTATATAGCATATTCAAATTGTTAACAATTATTGTACAGGTGTCCACTGAGAATACAAGGACCACATGTTCCTTTAAAGCACTAGGACCACACCTTAAATGGTGGAATTACATGCATCATACATGTTCACAACATATTTTATTAAACAACTAAACCATGAGATATATTATTAAACATCCAAATCATGAAAATAGTTTCTCAAACATACAAATTAACTTCAACCAACCAAACTATTGTCAACCCAAACTATTACAAACCAAAGCTAACAAGTACATGAAATTAGAAATCCAAAGATAACAGGACACCATCAATGTGACAACCCGAAATTTCTATTCTGTACAACCATTCGATTCAATAGAAATCCGAACAGTTTCTACTAACTTTCAAGCTTTTTGGAATAAGTTTGAGTGTTTTAAAGTTAGTACTTCAGGAGATAACAGGAGAGAGGATTCCATAGGGTTTATGGTGCAACATTAATGTCCCAAAACTCCAAGAGTTTGGAGTTTACGGCCTAAACAAAGGTGTTTACGGCCATAAACCCTAAAAGGGGGTATAAATATGACACTTAGTCATTATTTACCACTTTTCACATTTTCAAGATCCAAAACCCATTTCTGTCTCAAGTATCATCCGACTTTTCTTCAAGATCTTCAACTTTGTAAGTGTTTCTATCCCTAAAAAGTCGATATCTTACTTAATCTAGTGATCTTACGTGATTCCATCCGTGAAATCATTCCATTTGTGTAGATCTTCAAGTGTTCTTAGTTTCACCAAGAACACACACTAGTGTTTTTGGACTTTTAACACCTTTTCAAGCTTCTACATAGTAAGTACTCTTACCCTAGTGTGTTATAAGACTTGTTACACTTCCAAATCATCTAGAAAACATAAGGAAACACAAGATCAAAGGTGTTTACGGTCCAAGATGTTCTTGGACCGTAAACCCTAAAAGAGTGCCAAAGTGTGCCCTAGTCCCTTACCAAGCCTTGGAAACTAGCCTAGACCCTTCCTTGATGTGCTTAGTACTTGAAAACATCAAAAGACCATAAACCATTTGGGTTTACGGCCGTAAACCCAAAGGCAAACGGTCCAAGGACCGTAAACTCCACAAAGGAGTGAAATGGTGCCCTAAACACTTCCTAAGGCTTAAACATGAAGTATGAATGCTTCTTATGATCTTTAAAGCTTCAAAACTCAAAATGGTCAAAGTACCATGAGTTTACGGCCGTAAACGCATGGGTTTACGACCGTAAACTCATTAAGTGATGGTCACAAAACCGTAAACTCCAAGGGAGTTTACCCTTGAACCCTAAACCCCAATAGCAATGTCCTACAACACTTAGATGCAATCCTTAGCACTTATAACACTTAAATAAGGTGTTTTGCATGTCCTAGGATGTCTTAACTTTGTTAATTAGTTGTTTAAAGACTAATTGGATACATATATGTGTTATTATATGTTAACTAGGATCATTGTGTGTGTACAAGTCTTCACTTGACACCTAGCAATCCTATATCATCAGT